CTTTATAGTGATGACGCCTTGTTCCAAGGTCCCAACAGTTTACTGTAATTGTTATGCTATCTATAATAGGAATGATGGCCAAAACTATTAAAATAAGAGCATGGTTGTAATAAAATGAAGTTAAGGCTGTCCACACCAAGAGAAACACCTACAACAATAAATATAACGATGTGAGCATTCACACTGATGAAAGATGATGTTCTGTGCATTCTGCCATATATGATATATATACGAGATCAACCGTAAGTCAGTGTGGCATCATTATTTCTATGGTAAAACTTGTATTTACGGGCAATTTGCATATTACGGTATTTAAGCATTTTGTAGCAGATAAATATTTATATAAGTATAAGGCACTTAATGTAGCTTTTGGGTCGGACTATCTTATTATTCAGCAGGTCTCCCTTGAACAAGAGATCTATGATCTCAAGGGACCAATCTGGTTAAATAAAGGTTTGAAATGAAATGAAAAATATTATTGAGTATAGGATTAGTAAGAAAGGGGAAAACAAGAAAAGCTGCCACTGCTGTGCCGGTGGATTTTGATTGGCTGTTAGTGTTTCTATCTTCCATCAAACCGCCTTCCACTTCAGTAAAAGGTTTTTTTCTTTCTAAATATACTTATAGTTATCACCCTTGGTGTAGATGGCCCTTTATCCTTTAGGGAAGTCCTTTTTCTTGTTTTTATTTATCTGAAGAGCATAGCTTTATCTCAAGATGGTGTTTGGTCTACATGACTTACTCTCTACTAGCAGGGTTTTGTTTAGATAATGATACGATTGTGAGAGTTGGATGTTTATATTTTAGGCAGTAGACTGAGATAAGAGTTTAATTTTCATTATTCATCTGGCATTTGTGCTTATTCTCTCCTCTTTTTCTCCGTGCTAAGAACAAGATTGCATCAAAGACATTAAAATAAATTGCTTGATATCTCAAGATTACATCATAGTTAAATTGTTAATAATTAGATGAAGGTACATTGATCTATTTTGTCCATGGTATCTTGCAATATAGTTGTTACTATTTATTTTTGTTACGACTGATTGCTTGTTGAGTTACTTTTATTATACTGCGGCTTTTTTAACTATGGTGATGTCCTTTTTTATTTTATTACTTATTTTTCACATTTCCTATTTTACATTGTTCACCCACTTGTATATATATATATTTATTTTTTATCAGCATTTTACCTTTGCTGTTAGTTTAAGTCAAGTTTAAATGACTAAGTGATAAGATTTGTGTACCAACTTTAACATAATTCATTATTGTTTAAATTGCTTACTGAGTATAGCAACCCTAAAATTAGCATGTCATTTGATTTAACCTGTTTAGCCCCACGCCTGTTTTCCAGGTCTCAGGCTCGAAAATGACATGCCCAGAACAAATGACTATATCTTCACTTCTAAAAGGGTTAAATTAATAATCTTTTTTCTCAAAGCAATGATAAACCTGTGAGTTGGATGTAGAAAAGTCAGAATCAATATAGATTTTTTTTATTTTAAAGTAAATTCAGATTGAACATAGTAAAGAAATGTAAATTATAGTGTCCGTCCAAAAAAAAACATTACTTATATTGAAAACCACCCTTGAATGATGGGATAGTAGACTAAAAGCTTTAAGAATCCAAACTATAACATATAATAAGTATCCTGTATCAAAATTGATGCAAAATAAGTGACATTTGACTTTTTTAGAAAGGTTTAGCAACAAAAAAAAAACACTTCTGGGGTAATTTGGATGGATTTGCCATATCTCTGGTCCCCCTCGGTCGATTTTGATGATTGACACCTCTTTTTAACCGTTAGAGCCAATAGAATCGAGGGGCATCTAAATCCATCTAAACATTTCCATTGAGGAGTGAGAGTGATGTGCACGCAGTTTGCCCAAAACCGGAAGCTGGGTTGTAGCTCTAATAGCAGCTAATAGCAGCTAATATGAAATCTCAGTTTTTGACAAAAATGGAATGATGGATTATCAGTAATCATTTCAAAGTGACACAGACACATTGGATTAACCTTCAGCAGCGTTTTTCTCGTTTTAATGCCATTGAACACAACTTTTGATCAGAAAAACAGCAAGGCAAGACATATTTGCCGTTTTGGCTCAGTAAAGCTACGCTGTGTGTTGTCTGGGTTTGCCTGAGCTGTTTTGGTCGCACAGTGATGATACTGATACCTCTAGAATCTGTGAAATATCAGCTTTAATCTGATATCTTGTTTGTGCAGATCCGATAAGTAATAAAGTATTTATACCGTGAGTTCTGTGCTAAGTGCGTTAGCATTTTTTCGCTCAGGGCTCATTTAGACGCTTCTTGTGAGACTTGTGTTTTCTTTCGGTAAAAATGGGTCAAATTCGGTCAGTTAGCTGAGTTTCTTCCCGTTAGGTGGGTATGACACATTCATAGTTTGTTAAATGTTAAGAAGCCCTCAGACGCTGATTCTTGCAGATGTTGCGTTTTTCGAATTGCAAAAATTACCTTCTATTCTACCCAAGATGTGTACTGCTCAAGGGACTGACATTGAGAGGGTCACTACTTACAAATATCTGGGATCTCTTATTGAACAGAACTTGTCTTTCAAGTTACACACGGAAAATGCTGTTTCAATGCTAAAAATAAAATTAGGTTTCTTTTATAGAAACAAATCCTGTTTCTCTTTTCAGACAAGGAAACATTTGATATCTGCAATGTTTTTACCTGTATTAGATTATGGTGATCTGCTATACATGAATGCCTCTGACCAGTGCCTAAAGAGCTTGGATACTGTGTACCATTGTGCCTTACGATTTATTACTGGATGTGGATATCGAGTACACCATTGCACTTTATATGCTGCTGCTAATTGGCCGTCTTTGTCTGCTCGCAGACTTTCCCATTGGTTGGGTTTTATTTATAAATCTCTGCTTGGGTTTGTTCCCTCTTACATTTGCACATATATGTGTCAAAGAGAAAGTCTATATGGCCTGCGCTCCCAAGATTTGATTCAGATGCTGGTTCCTACAGTGAGAACAAAACTGGGTAAAACAGCTTTTAAATATGCTGCCCCCACAGCTTGGAACAATGTACAGAAGGAGCTGAAACTCCCAGATGTAATCACTATGGGGGAATTCAGGTCCATCTTAAAGGACAGAGAACACGACACCATTGGTAGAAGTGAGTGCTCGTATATCCAAAAATCGTTGAAAATGTTGCCAGTTTTTAATGATTTTTAATAGTTTGTTTTATTTCGCATATTGACTGGCTAATGTGCCATTTTATTTGTGTTTTACAGCTGTATTTGTCTGCCTGTCTTGTCTGTGTTTTATCTGTTGTAACTTCGTTCATGCTGCCCTTCTTGGCCAGGTCACTCAATGAGTCTTTTACCTGGTTAAATAAAGGATATATATATTTTGGACCCCTCCCGTCAGTACTGTTGTGTCCCGTCAAAAGTGTTGAGTTTAGTCATGTTTCATGTTTTTGTTTGGTTCATTTTCGTATTGTCTTCCATTTCCTGTTTTATTTTGACACTCAGCGGTTATGCTTCATTCCAGGTTTCTTGACTCCCTACCCTTGTGCTCTCATCAGCACCAGCCCCGCCCCTGATTGTTTCCACCTGTGCCCAGTTACCTTTTGTTTATATTCCCCAGCTTCCCTTTGTTCTTTGTCAGTTCGTCTTGTCCAGAGATGGGGTCGTTACTACAAAAAAGTAATATATTACATATTACTTTTAAAAAAGTAATATATTACACTACTTCGTTGCTCTCTACATAAAGTAACTTGTTACTTTACTCGTTACTTTACTCGTTACTTTACTCGTTACTTTACTCGCAGGGCCGGCCCGCCCCTCCCTACAGGCAGATCACGCAGACTGCTAAAGTTTCAAATGTTCTCTTTAGTTCAGTTTCCATTGTCGCATAAGACTGATCCAGATAGCTCTGACTATGGCTGTCCTCTGTCTCCTGCTATCTGTATTTTGCGCAGCATATCTCTGAACGATGCGATGGTGATTCCACTGTGCAAATGGGCAACATTACCTCTACTATGAAGGATGCTACAAGCCTGTCCATCTCTGCTTTGGTTACCAGTCCTCCAAATTCTAATTTGTGCTGCTTCGGAGTCGGCGGCGGCGCACTCACAACATCCTCACTCTGGGTTCGGGGGTCCGGTCCTTAGCTATTAGCTTCACCTTAGCATGTGTTCTTTGCAGGTGTTTGTTGAGGTTTGACGTGGTGTTTGCAGCAGTGTATAACAGCTTCTGGCCTGGACACAGTTTGCACCTCACCGTCACATTCCTGTCTATTCTTCGGACGAACTCAAAATAATGGGCATACCTCCACCCCTCGAAAGTTATCGCTGACTCTGCCATGTTTATGCAGCACTGCACGTGGAGATGTGGACGCGCAAGTCGCGCAGATTACGTACATAGAAACCTGCGGCGGAAACCCCTCTTGTCTGTCAGTGTGATTATGACTGATTTTATAAAAGTAACAAAGTAACGCGTGTCGGGGCAATGTTAGTAACTGTAGTGTGATTACTGAATTATAAAAGTAACGCGTTACACTACTCCGTTACCGACAAAAGTAATATTATTACATACATACACCCAACTATGGTCTTGTCCTGTCCTCATGCCAGTACTCTGCTCGTCATCGATTGCTTCTTGATACAAGCCTACTTTATGCTTCTGAAACTTGTTGAAAGTTTAGTTCCTCACGTTGTGAGCGATTTTTTGTTGTGCCTTTTTGGACCCTTTTTTGTCACCTCGTAAGAGTGTTTTTCTTTTGTATATCTTTTGTGGAAAAGATAAAGTATATTAATTATACTTTACCTCTGGCTCCCGGGTCGTGCATTTGAGTCCTTACCTTTGAGTATCCAAGTTCTTGACACGTGGGGCTTAACAGGTTAACAAACGCATACAGAACCCAGCTTGTATTCATATTCATATATTTTTATTTTGTGTTGGTAGCCGTGATCGTTGTTTTACCCTCCCCCTCACACAAAGAAACTCCTTATAGCACAAGCCTGTGTTTTACATTTTATTAATAGCAACATCAGAGTACTAAATGTACAGAGGACGAATCCAATGAGAATCGCATTTACAGTGCTTGCAAATACAGAGCTTAGTAGTACAAGAGTAACCAAATCAAAGTCACCTGGAAATCGAAACGTTTACCAATAACTACAAAAGGAAGAGATGTGGTTCATAGGACACGAAATAAAATGTACACAACATTTAGCCGTCACAGAGACAGACTGGAGTCCCTTTTGTGGAGGTGTGTTGTGTGTGCATGTGTGTTTGTATATACTATAGGTCTTATACAAAAGTTAACAGAGGTACTCATTGATATATTAAACACAAATATAAAAAATGTAAGAGTCACAAAGTACAAACTCTTCATTTTTATGGCGACAACACAACTCGAGTCAGCTTCTTCATGGTGGGGATGGATTGTGATTGTAAGTCGGCTTCGATGAACAGACCACTTGTGTGCCCACATGTCAAAAGACCTCCCCCATTCCCTAAAAAAGGAAACAAAAAACCTGTACAACTTCCTCAGCCCTGAAAATTGAAACTGTTTGTATGAGGGTTTTTTTTTTTTGGACAGCAATGTCCAAATTGATTTGATCAACTCTCATGGAGCAATGCATCTATATATCCTTGCCGTGTCACTCATTCCAAGCTAACTCTCTGTTCTGAAGACATTGTACAATGTCAAATGTGTCAGATTTGGGTCACACAACTAGACTCCATTGAACAGGGAGATTATGGGAAAATGGAGATGTTGCAACCAAAGTGAGAATCTTTTTATTGATTGATACGCACTGACAGCGCCTTAGCTTTTTGGAATAGAAAAGTAACAACATGGCCCAAAGGAGAGTCGGAGCCCTCCGCTTTACAGTAAGCGCACAGTATGTGATTTTTCTGAAACAATAAGGAGAAGCGGAGTGGATTTAGTAGTATACGCTTCTAGGACTGTAAAGATACACTTTTTCCTTTTTTTCGTTGTCAGAACATGTATTTATCTTTCTCCCTGCTGGTTGAGCAACCTATCGACTTCTGTTTGAAATGAAATTCACCACCATGTAACATTAATGCGGACATGTTTGTACCATAATGAGACACCCCAGGGCAAACTGAGTAATCCATACATTGATTACTCTCCTCTTGTGAACGCTTCCAATGATATGGAAAATAAACAAAACCTCGGCCTTGGAGATGTTCAGCCAATATCTAATTCAGAACCATATGTCAATAGGTTCCTCTCTGTATCTCTGACATGCAAACAGGAATCACAGTCCTTGCAAATGAGTGTGCGGCACATCCTTCATCTTGACAGGAAAACCCTGGCTGATTGATAGCTTGTTTGTGCTGATGGGAGCATTGGTTTCACGGGCTGCTGAAGAGACAGAACGGGAGTTGCAAAATATTCATTCGTTGTGAAAAAGGCATGTCTAGTCTTTGGTGTCTGTTTAAGACTCTTTTTTTTTTTACAAGCACCCTTCCCCCTGTCCTTTGCCTGCACTGCTCTGTTTCCTGAATCAAATCTGACCAGCCAAGTGGAATCATTTTCCTCCCTCTTAGCTATAATAAATCGCTATCATCGGCTATCCTGGAATATAAACTGAAAAGGCAAGAAAGCAGTAAGGCATTTCCTTACGTATCAGTTTGATTTCAGACAGAGGTAAAAAGCAGGAAGGGGGATGTATGCCTATGTCTACTGATAGCCTGTTTTAAAATATGTTTCATAGCTTCAAGTTCTATCTTTCCAGAAGTCCTTCAGGAATGCAAAGTGAATTGCTTTTAGCCGGCAGCTCCCTGTGGTTTTAATGAGTGTTGCTACCAATGCAAACATGCTTTTCAAGGCTTACTGAAATAAAACCTGCTAATCTTTTACCACACAGTATGACACACAGGAATGAATGTCAAAATGTTCTCAGTTGAATCAGATTTAGTAAGTGGTAAGAATGAGTGAGCAGTCTCACACAATCATCATCGACTTGGTATAACATTTCGACCATTTTCAATGTCACATTGACTGAACAAATTGACACAAACTAGGTATCCACAAGTACAATTTTTGATGAAAGAGATCGCAATCTTCATTTTGTAAGCTTAAAGCACAATTTGTGTCTATAAAAACTTGGGTCTTGTTCTCTTACTTCCTTTCGGTCACCATTACAGTGGGTAAATTGATGTTGTCATGAGTAGGGAAGTTTGCTATAGAGACCAAAACCATGTTTTGCACCAGACTGTAAACATTTTAATATCTGCTCCAAAGTCAGGTAAAACAAATAGGGGTCTTTTGAAATTGGCTGAAAGTGACCATTCGTTTGACTGCAGTTTTGTGTCCTGGCGCCAGTCTCAGCTCGACTTGGTACGCATACAGTTTAACGTATCTTTATCCCTTTGGACTTCATTTTAGCAAAGATGACGTGTTCCTAGTTACCATAACTGTTGGACTGGTGTTTCTTTGGCTACTATTCCTGAGAATGGATAGCTATACTAGCAGATCTGTGAGCACACAGTGTTTTGAGCTAATTGATGCTAACATTGCAGTCTATCAAATACATGTTTCCATTGGCACCAGAGGGTTGACTGACAAGGCCAGTGTATGTCAAGGCTGACAGTAAGACCCAAGTCGAAATAAACCCAAATCAGGCCTATACTTTAAAATGTTGAAATACGAAAATTGTGCGTAACTCATGTATGCATTTTTAACAAGGTCAATTTTTTCCCCCACAATTCTTTCTTTAAGCATCTTTCCCTGATCATTTCATGAACTCAAAAATGCTATATAGTTTTTGCAGTCATGACAAGTACTGTATGTGGCAAATCCTACATTTAATGGGGCAGTTGTAGCAATATGTATATACAAATATAAAATATGACAAATAAACGTAACATCAAGTTTAGTCGGTTTCTTGGCAGCTACTGTTGGATTAACACTGTTTTGTTTTTTTTATTTATGTGATGAAACACTCAATATTAGAATCCATGTAGAAATGATAAGAACAGAAAGTCATTGGTTTCCCAGCCAACCATGAATGCAGCAGAACCCAAGATATGATCACACCTCTTCGAATCCTTCAGTACTTTCAGACATTCCTCCTGGAAATCACTCCCCAGCCTCTGAACTATTGCAGCGTCTACTGAAGTATTATACTGGTTAGCTAAAGATATAATACAAGTACTGCTTGAAAGTGCAGGTAGGAAGCTTGGCACAATGTTAGTTTTGTGTTTTTAAAAGAAATACTGTAGTTACACATGTAAACAAAGACACTATCCCCGACCTAGCTGAAAACCTTCCCAGAAACGGGAGAGGTCCTGAAAAATAGAACACACCTGTACACAAATAGAAGCAAATATATAGAAAATACATTTACACGTGTATAATATACAGTAAGTTTTCGTAACCCTCTGACTAGTAAGATAGCACTCTTCATTCAAAAAAATATATGTTATGTCAAAGAAGCAACTCCGCAGCCTGACACACACACATGTGAGGCTGAATTGGTATGGGTCATTCATGAGAGTGGTTATCATGTTGTGAATGGGCAAAAATCGTGAGTTTTGCACCACAGTGTTTATCCCAGGCCGTGTTGGCACATCCTGAATGGCTCACATTTACAGATACTGATCCTTCCGGGACAACCTTGAATTCTTTAAGGAGGTGAGCCTTCAAACAACCGAAGCGAATTGCGGGAGATCCGCTGTCGTCGCGGAAATAAAACCCACCGCTTTAATCAGTACATATTGCTGTCTGCAGCCAAGAAACCTTTACAATTTCTGAATTGTATTTGTGCTTTGTACAAACCCACAGCACAATGAAAGGTAGATTCAAAGGTGGTTTCCTCAAGAGCTTTTGGAGCACAAAGGAAATCGGTCTGTCAGAGCTGGAGGTTGATAATAACATTATTGGGGGTGGAAAGCTCTCAGGAGCGATTTACTGTCTTTCCTGACCAAGGGTTCCCCTAACCTTGACATAGGAGATAGTTTAAAGCAATTTGGCGGCGGCTGATTGGCTTGTCATAATCCCCTTACTTCAGTAATACACTGACAGAGTGTTTTGGGATTGAGAGGACAAAATGTACTTATTCGTATTGTGTTTGCGCTCTGCTTCCTACAGCCTACATTTATTTGTGTGCACAACCCACGACTTCTTGGCTGTAATAGAAAATTCTGATTTGCTAGAAATATTGTCCTCAAGTGCTGATTGGAGAAATGTAACTGACCCCTACCACACATTTGGGCGAGGGAATTCTTCTCTTGCTAGGGACGTCGTAGATCATTTGATCCTGATCGACACTCTCATTTGAAAACTGGAGGATCATTTTATGTTCCATCAACTACAAATTGGTTCATGTTCATCTTGACTTTCTGACTTTAATACAGACTTTTTTAGGCTTCATAAAATCATTTATCAAAAGTTAATCTCTGTGGTTGCGTGGGAATAATCATTTAGTCTCTGTGGAAAGATTAATTTTGTAATCTCTGTCCCTTTAATGCAAATTATCACATGAATTTACAGGCTTGAATTGAATCTCTTCCACCCTTTTAAATCATAACGGTTCATTCGAATGTATCCGAACAGCTGCTGAAACTGAGACCAACATAAAGTGTGCAAGAGAGCTAGACAGACCTGAGGCAGTATGAATGTCCTGCCCAGCTCTATGCAGTCTGTTGTGGCTGTACTTACTCTAGCTATTCATGAATTTGCTGCTATGGGATTTGTTCCTTTACTACAGAACCCTTTTGTCACTTTTTTCCATTAAGCCAAATCAGGTAAAAATCGTACATAATAAGCGATTGGAGCTTGTGTTGGGTTGGATTGCATGAGGTGTATTCATGTTTTTTCTTTCTTCTAATCTCTGTTCGGGTATTTAATTAACAGCACTGAATCCCAGGTGCTAGGGACCTTCACCGTTAGAATCTACTGTGTAAAAAAATAGACATAACTATTCTGTTTTTAAAATGGGACCTATATAAACCATGTTTTAAAATCAACTGTTCGCTAAAGCATATACCGTTTCTTTTTTCCCCCCCTCTCTTCCCAAACTAATAGAATAGTGCTTCATATAAATATCTTTTTAGACTCTTTTTCAACACATATCTTAAAACTATTTCAAAACATATTCAAATACATTTGTAGCGTTTTTTAATCTTTCACATTTCTTTAAAAAACAAAACACAAATAAAAGTAGTTGGAGTCGATACAGGATTAATATAGCGCTCTTTGTTTAGTCCATCAGTTGTTGAAACTTCCTTCTATCCAGGTTGTGGCACATAGTGGCATTATTGGCACATTGTTCAGAATTACAGTTCATCTTCCACCCACAGAAGCTCCTTGGGTTTTTTTTCAAATGTCAAATGTTTTCCTTGAGACATCTGTGACGTCCAAAAGTCCCACACATCCTGTAAATATACCTATATATAATCTATATCTAAATGACTGTACGTTCCTGGAAATATTGAGTGGCAGCGTTGTTGCTGCTCTGCTTGTCATCTCTAGAAAAATAAATATCTTCACCAGTGTCCAAAGAGTGATCGCACTATTTTACAAAAGAAGCTGTTTTGTGTGTTTCCAACTGGATCCTGTGGAGAACAAAACCACAATTATTCTTAATTTAAGCCTGGCACAAAATAAAAACATTGTAACACAGATAGGACTTTTGTGTTTTGTGTGTTAATGAAGTGTTAATTGCTGTATACTGTATGGCAATATAATTCATATAGACAATTACGAATTAAAGCATATTGTATAGTCAAAGTCCTTGAATGTTCCTTTATATGTGCATTTACTAGGTCTGTTTCACATGCACTGTATAAAGCCCAGTTCAGGTCAGGCTCTTTAAATTTCAGCTATTAACATTATTATTTGTTGTTGTTTTTTTATCGACATTAAGAGTGTTGAAATGTCTTTACGTTATGCTCATTTCCAGGTTCATATTTGTAATTTGTGCCTCTACTGTGACATGTTTACATGCTTTAATGTTAAAAAAAGGTCTTTATTTTTCTCATGAAGAACCTCTTTTCACCCTCTGTCTGAAACCAAAGCCCAGTCGTTCTCATTGGTTAGCTGACCGTACAGCACGAACATACAACACATGAAGCCAAAATTGAGGTACAAAAAAACGAATAATTCTGTTTTGTGTTACACCCTTATATGTTTGGGATAGTTGGTATCCATTTCCTAAATCAGTTCAAATGGCAATACTGTTTTCAAAAACTATACAAAAACCTAAACTTTAGCCTAGGAAATACATTAGGTCTGCGGTGTAATAGTAACAGATATTGTAAGTATGCAGCAGAAGGCACATGCTGTGTAGAGCAGAACAGAATGAGACTAATGTGTGTCCAGACAATGGCGAGGCGCTGTCCTCTCACTACGCTACCTGCAGGCAATCTATTCCTTTTCAAATCTGGGTCAATAGCAGACGTTACACCTCCCCCCGGGCTCCCAGCAACACTGTGGGGCCGGAGCATGTGTTTAACTTTCAACGCTTTGAATTTCAAATGCGGGCCATTCTTGCATACATTACCATGCATAAAAGAAAAATGTCACTAGTCAAGTGAAAATGCTTCTTCATTCCTGTTCAAAACAATATGGTGTAAGAAGGAGAGGGGCAACATGAATATTAATGAAAGTATTTCAGATATGAGGAGTGAAATCATTAACTTTGAGAATAAAGCTTAATAAAGCTTCCTGATATGTTCATAATTAGTTTTTTATCTCAACTAAAGACCTCTGATACGGCACTGAACTTGATTTCTCAGCCCTTTTTCATCGCAGCGCAGCCATTGAAAGGAGCGCAGTCATGTCACTTAAAACAAACCTATGCCAAGTTCCCCTCTAGTCCCAAAGTGGGGCAGCATTACCACGGGTATAGAGGTGGCTGAGGCTCATGCGAGGATTTGTGCAATTAAAATGTGGCAGGGTTAGTACCCACCAGAGCGTGAATTCAGGAAGTGTCTTCCACCCACAGGAAGTGAAGAAGGCCTTCAGCTTGTCAACAAGAGATCTCAAACCATTTCTCTGACACGAAGGCCACAGGAATTAGTTGTCTTTCAGTGGGGGAGGGCCTGTAGGGTAAAGAGGTGAGAAGGTTGTTATAGATAGATGGGAGTGTAGTTGGTTGCATATTTGCATTTCATTCAGTGAGCACAATGTTTTTAATTGTTAGCTTTTAATCTGAATTGATTCTGAAGAGACATTATTGATAAACATTTGTTGTTAGTGTCAACATGAGTTTAGGGAGTATTTGTCGACATTTTTAAATATAGACGGAGGAAACTTGATTTCTTCAAATGTGATTATTTATTTACAAAGCGAAGAACAGCTAGGTCAGCATCTACTGCATCTTATTGTGTCTTCTACTACAGCCTACTGTCAAGTCTAGAACATATTGTTTAAAGTGCATTTTTCAGGTATAAATGCTAGCCTTTAGAAAAGACAAAGAGAGGCGTTCACATGTGTGTAATACATGTGTGTCCTGCAGCACAGTGTCGGGGTCTTTTTTCGCAATAATTACCCACTCACTATACATTATCGCTTACCTGACTATCAACGTTGTTACATATGTATAAAATATGATATTTAAAACAGATATTTAAAAGTACTTTCCCTAGAAGCTTAATTCTTTTTTACTTTTAGTGTTAAAAGGCTTTTTTGTTTCTTTCCCAGTGTGTAAAAACAACAACATGGCGGACACCCGGCTTATTTTCTTGTGGAAAATCGGAAATTGTAGGATAGTTTTGCCGTTAAAATGCTTTTTTATTACATTTCTAGGTAGAAGTATATATTTTATATCTAGTTTGATAGATATTGGGTGTCCGTCATGTTTTTCACACCGGGAAAGTTGACGATGACGTGACATGGGCACTGGCCATTGGGAATGTATACAAACAAATATTTTGCCATGTCAACATTTGAGAGGGTTTTTTTGTTAAAATACTACGTTTTGCCCTGTAGACCAACGTAGCTATTACACTTTTTTTGTGAGACTTGGTTGGTTGAAATGCGGAGACAGAGATGATGACATGCATAAATAGTCCCAGGCCAGATTGGAAACCTGGGTCCCCCTCATTGTAATCATGAGTAATCAGTTTTGAAAGAAGTTACTGTCATATAATAATTTTGCCAATACTGGTCAAATCTGTGTCACTAATCACAGAGAAACACAAGCAGAGAGACAGAAAAAAACATACTGAGACTTTTTATTGAAGTTAATAATTCCTGAATTAATCAGCAGCGTTGATGCTAAACATTTTGCCCTCCTTCCATGACTAAATCCACACACTTTGGACTATTTACACCAGCTGAGTGATCCTATCCTCGCTGCCAGAATAATGAATCTGTTACAGGATTTAGATACTCAGAGTAAGTGTGACCATCTTTGGCGGACCATGCAGCTTAGATGACTCTTACTGTTATCCACTCAGTAACACAGTCAAAACTCCAGCAAGCTTATTGTCGACCTGCATATAAAGGAAAATGTAAGGTTTACACTTATAGGATTCATATGTAAATCCCACCTGCCCGTTTGTATTTCAAAGAGTGACACATCTTCAACCACAGAGAGAAGCGATTTGAACTCAGAGTGGAAAGCAAACACACCAATGACTCAACACTGTTACACCTTCCTTTTGGTGTGAAGCAGCGCATATTAGTTTGGTGGGTAAACATAGATGTTTTGAACACAGTTTACGGATATTACATTTCATGACTTTTGGGTTTAGTCGTTGAGTTTTTAAAGTGTATATATAGTACTTGTCTGCCATTTGAAATGGTGTCAGATGGATCAGTTCAATGGCTCTGTAAAGACTTCACATTGCAGTGCCCTACATCTACAAACTGACTAATTAAGCCAAAACAAAGATCCCAGGTAGGTTTGGATTTTTGTGTGCAGCTTGAGCGTGCCAGGGCTGAGCACTCGGGCAGATGATCAAGGAATGAATGGACGAAAGCATTAAGGGCAACTGATTTTATGGCTTTGCTGAGAAAACAAGCCTCTGACTGACACTGATTGTGGTTGAGAATAGAAGCACACGCAAGGGGAAGAATGTGAGGAATTTAATCATTGTATGAAGAAAAAAAGTAGTTTTAACAGTTATTTCCCACTTGCATTCGGTGGGAAATTCCGCCCCTATCTCTAAATTGGTTCTGACCCTGATATTCAACTTGGCTGAATGTGGAGGGGGAAAACAATTGGCCCTGTACTACTCCTTGAGGTACACCACCACCTTAAAACCTACTAGAATTTCAAAAATGAAGAATTTATTTTTCCTCTATAATAAAATTGCTGGTGACTTCAACCTGAAAATAAATCCCTAATCTTGACCCAACTTCTTTGGTGAACAGCTTACTACATGAAATGGCTAAAATATAAATGGGGTGTCAAAAATATTGTAATGTAAAAAATCCTGGTAATTTCAAAAATGTGTCTGTAGCCAGTTATTTTGGTGAAAAGTATTTCATTTACTTGTCATTTTGTAATGCTTTATACTGTCAAGTTATCAGAACATTTATCCCCTCATACAACCACTAATATTAGGAAAACAACATTTCTTAACCCAGATTAAATAAATCTGGCTCTGCCCTTCAGCATGGGGTTACATCATATTCAGGACATTAACCTGTAATGCCTGTTTTTAAAAATCTCCCTGGAAAAGACTTGAAATGTCCAGTGCTTGCTGACTGAACAGTGATTCCTGTGTGCATCCATCTTGTCCTATAAACAGCCCTGGGCCGGCGTACCTGTTTCCATTGTAAGCAGTCTTGTAGACAGGCGTCTGCTGGATCATCTCATCAGTGTAGATTGGCACGGCAGTCCGGACGCACTCATGTGAGCACTGCAGGCTGTCATTGTAGGCAGTGAATATGTCCACCTTGCTTGGCACCCGGGCCGGGGTGAAGTCTGTCAGGTTTTGGCAGCTCTCTTCCTGCTGGTGGATCTTGCGCTGATGGCTATTGTGACGGCCATTTCCCGACTGCGCACAGCTACAAAAACACGCACCAAAGACAAGAAACAAACATAAAATCATACCTTGTACCCTTCTCATCATCCGAAGGATATTCTGACATAGTGGAAGTTCTTACAGATGAGTTAGACTGTAAATACAATACATAATACAGAAAGTAAAGGAATCTTTCCTACCAGTTTTTAAGGACGAGTGTTGTGATCAAGGCTGCGATAACCATAATGAGAGACACAGTGATTGTGATTATCTGGTGAACTGCCAAACCTGCAAAAAGACAGTAAACACAAGAGAAGAACAATTACATTTGAGGAGGGATAAGTATCACTCTTTAGTTTGCTGCTGTACTCAACAAAGTACCAGGGCAAGCTCACTTTAAAAGGAGAGGATGACAACCTAGAACTATTTTGCACTTCAGTAAGTATTGATGATACTGTCATCCACTGTGATTCATAATTTAAGAGAGATATGAATAATTCCATTCCATTCCAGCCCACTGTAATGGATAACCAAGTCCAAGTTTTCTCCAAGTACTTGTAGAATGTATTATTCTTATGTATTTTTTATTTAGTTTTTCAAACCAAATACTTCCTCACACAGCAGACACATAATCAAAGAGCTGGTACGCTTTAAGACCATATGAAAACATTTTATATTGTTTTTGTTTTGTAGGCTACTTAAAACCATATTAATTGTGTTTTTGGCCACTTATGGAAAATGAAACAAACTGAAACCACAACATCAGACAAGCATATCACTTTTGAAATGATTAAATGCCCCCTATTCAAACATCGAACAACAGAAACAAATATAATTGATTTGATATACTGTCTCTGACTCTCCGAAATATCTCCTTTTGAGGCTCTGTCTGGTCCCTACCACCAATGGCTGTCCAATGTTTTGGTGCAGTGAAAGTAGCATACTGACGTTTTTGAACCCAAACAATGTGTTGGTTTAAAGTCTTGTTTTGCTAAAGCAACACTAATACAAAATGAGAAACAATGCAGCCTTTTTGCATTTTACCCATCTTGCAGATACGAAAGTTTTCCTCCCTTTGTTTTTGTGACTAGAGTACAAAAGCATTGTTCTTATTTAAACTCTAACCTGCCTCTGTGTGCTGATCTCCCACTATTGCCAGAGGACAGTAATCCACAAAAAAAAAAAACCCGGTGTGCCACATGTCTAAAGTAAGGATTAGTGTGAGCCTATTCCACTGTACAGTATGGTTAGTGTGTCGTGTGCTGTATGTGTGTGGGTGAGTGATAGAGCAGGAGAGCGACTAGGACACAATGACACACTGCAGCAGGTGACATTCTGCAGGAGAGGGGGGAGAAAGAAAAAAAAAAGCCGTCATCATGAAAATGCCCACGTGGGCCTTATACATTTCACCTCTCCATCAGCCAGCTGCCTGGCTGCTGATCCAAGCCAATTTGTCTTCAGGAAGGCTCAAAAGGAAGTGCTGCTCTGTCGTTTTGGAAAACAACATGGCCTCTCCTCTGCCTGCCTGCTGTCAGGACAACCTCCTCCTGGATAATAAACTTCTGCAGGCCAGGTCAACCTTGGATTAATGATATCTCTGGCTGGCTCAGGATAGCCTTACCTTCCCAGCGCAATCAGAATCCCTCGCCACGGCAAAGGCACATTAACTTATCTGTCAAGCCATTTGCATTTTCTCTCATATCCCCTCTCTGTCGTTGCCCGCCTACGTCCCTGCCTCGTCTCCGGCTGACGTCAAGACTGTTAAGTTGAAAGTGTTTGCTTATAAATTAACATCTGTCCAAGATCAGGCATAATAGAGCTCGCCCATGACCTTGATCAATGGCTGAGATCTCTACTGAGAATTGTTTCATTTTACATTGAAGTCACAATGAAAGGGAGCACTTTAAAGTCAGGACATTTGAAATGAAAAGATGCTCTTGATGGATTCTTCTCTGCAAAACCACATCTGATTAAATCACATTATGGCACAGCTTTCGGTTGGATCTCTAATGGAAACTGCTCTGCCCATGCAAGGAAAGGTTCTGATTTTAATCCCAACTGTCATGGCGTGCATGCAAGCATCGATTGGCGAGTGTGATGTCAGTGAACAAAACACACGCATGTTTAGCAGCCCTGCCAGTCTGGGATTTTATTCCAGAGGAATTCGATTGGCTCAGTTGGTAAACACAGGCATTCTGTGGTCAGCTTAGTGATGCTATGTTAAATGTTGCAGGATATTTCTGCTCATTAAAAGTTCCTTCAGGCTACCATTTGAAGCAAAATATACGTATTCTTTCCTACTAGTGCCTTTAATTAAACAAATGAACCTAAGCAAATGAGGTCCGGCAGCACAAACCATCCCTTCAAGACCACTTTCCCCTTGTTTTCAGGGCAGTATGTTAAAGGGTGCAGAGGTAACAGAGCAGCTAATGGCATGGGTGACGAATCTGATCCACAGTATTTTCATCCACAACTGCCAGTCAGAGTGAAAGACATTTGGATTGGCTGTTTGAAGTCAGGTTCAAATATAACCTTCAGTCACCTTGCTTTAGAGCTACCCGGTCAGGTTCTGTTTGGTCAAATCCCTGCCAAACAAAGAGAGACTGAGAGGGAGATGGATAGAAAGAGAAAGGGACAGAAAGGGATAAAGTACAGCAAGCTTGTGACCTCTGTGGCAGCAGCTTTGGAGCCCCCATTGATGCTCCCAGCGAGAAACAAATTAGATTTTTTGTACCTTCTTGTCTATCACAGTTTGATGAACATGTCAAAGAAATGCTTGGTGGGTAAATGAAATATCTCCTTGCAACCTGCTTTTAATGAAAGAACCCCAGCTTGAAAACTCTGTGTGTGGTTAAGGTGATCTAAACAGGTAATGTCTGGTTTGAATTCTCTCCAAAATGTTGTTTACCATTGTTAGATCATGTTATATAGCAGTGTTTCCCCTAGGTTTACTGCTTTGGGGGGGGGTGCTGCCTGATCCTCTGGAGCAGAGAGAGGAGCTGTAAGATTATTGTTATTGATTAATGCATCAGTGTTTCTTAGGGTAAAAAACACTAAACTCACTACTTAAAATGAAAGCATTTACTTTATTTAATAAAAGAGCACATGTTCAATGTGAAAAGTGACAGTAGATATAAATTAGTTGCAATTTGGTGCTATATATATATATATATATATATAAAATATTTTTTAAATTTTAAACACCTTGAATTTCAACGGAGCCCCGCGCCCCTCCAAGACAATGGTAGGGGAAACACTGTATAGGTATTAACAGCTAGGTGTATTAAAGATATGTACATTACTTACTTATTTTGAATGTTTTGTCTTGTAACAGTTGAAAAAAGTGTGGTGTAACATAAAAGAATAATAAACAAACTGAGCAGTTCCCTTTAGCTTTACTTTAGCTTATAGCTAATTGTTTAAGCTTTAACACCATTACCGTTAATGTGCGTCTGGTTTAGTCTTAACTCTCCTATCAACCTAGTTTCCAGACACAGTGGGTAGCTATCTTTAATGAAAACCCTGAGACTTATCTACTGTATGCGACCTGACGAGCATCAAACAGCATACAAAGTTAGCAACTAGCATCTATAGAGAAATATATTTGCCCAAGTTGGTGGACAGCAAAATACTTTTAAAGGGAGACTGAATATTGGACTTGGAGTCAGATGGATGTGCAAAATGTGTGTTTAAAGCTGTTTGCTCCCAATGGGCCAAACATATTAATGCTGCCTTTGAGATGAAGCATCCTGAGTTCAGAGCCTGAGAAGTGCGGATTATACTTAAATCTGAACGCATTCCTTAAATTGTGAACTGGCAATTAGTACAGTTCCGGTAGAAATGTTTAATTCGCTAATGCTGGATATAGGGAAGCATCAGCACTCATGTTTTACTGAAACTATATAATCCCACAATGACATTTCAATGTGAGGAACACAGACCTGGGTAAAGACTGTAGCTCTTAGTTTAAATAGTGTTAATTTCGTCAGCTATTTTTTTATTTAGTTTTAGTCTTAGTCCTGTGTTAAATTTCCTTTTTAGTTTTAGTCATATTTAGTCACCTTCATCCTGTTTTTATTTAGTCAAGATTTAGTCGACTAAAAGTCTGAGCATTTTAGTCTTATTTTAGTCAAATAAAACTAATTATTTTAGTCTACTTTTTGTCAATGAAAACTGTTGAGTCTTTTTTAGTCATCAGATTATATAAAACATTTCAGCCAAAACCAATAATTTGTCATTTTAGTCAAATTTATTTCACAATAAGATGATATCTTGTCCTTATTTGATGAAAAACACAGGTTGAATGATTAAGAAAGCAGCTTTGCAGAGAGTATCTGGTCAGGTTTGTGGTGTTTTTACCAGCTGTGTTATGGCCACATTGCTTCCCTTCTGATAAAACAATGCATTCACTTATTTTCTCCGCCTCATTGTAGCGAAAATGGGCCCAAATATCACATCGTTTCTTTCTCCCAAGCAGTGGTGGCTTTAGACTTTTTTGTTGTCAGTCATTTTGACGGACAGGATCGTAACATTTCCGTCATAATCCATTATAGCCCGTCGAGTCTGTACACAACTCGTCACTCACTCGCGCTGACAGGGGGGGGTTATTCGGTTAACGCGACCACTGCTCCCAAGCCCTGTTGTTGCCATTTTATTTTCTGTTAAATAAGGTTAGTTAGACCATGAGTTAGACCCAAGTCTTCCTGACAGTTCATATTGTGCCGCTGGCCCGGTGTAATTCAAATGTACCGCCGCGCGCAGCACAGACACACAGCTGCTGCCCAGCTGCAGCACAGACACACAGCTGCTGCCCAGCCGCAGCACCGGAAATGGAACTGCTGGGAGAAAAACTGACTATCAGAGATGTAACGTTATCTTTGATAATATTTCGTCTCCTCATTTTCGTCAACGAAAGTAAAGAGAGTTTTTATTTAGTAAACTACATTTTCGTCTCGTCACTTTTCGTCAACGATATTGCATGTTGATTTCGTTACAGTTATTGTTTACTGCCGTCATTGCCGTCTCGTCATCGTCTCGTTTTAGTCATGGAAAAAAAGGTCGTTGACGAACATATTTCGTCATAGTTTTAGTGAACGAAATTAACACTAGTTTAAATCCAAGCAATAGAATAAACTATTATTTATAGACTGAATTATTTAGCCATATATCCAGAGAACATTAGGAAAAGCACAGGTGTTACTAATACAATTAAAATGTCTCTGTTCTGTGGAAGTATCACCGTAACTCACAACAGTGTGAGAGAGAGCCGGCATGCAGAATACCAGGAC